CGTGTAATTTTTTCCTTTCATAATTTTCCTCTAGTTATGATTTGTATACATTTAAAGAATTCCTTTCAACATTTCCTTCTAGGCTAGTGTTGCGCCAGTGAACACTTTTAACTTTTATTTGGGAAACTCGGTTTCTCCTTCTACTCTGAATGATAGCTTTCCTGGTTAGAGTACATTCTTGGTTCTAAGTTTGCTTGTTTTTTTCCTTTTAGCACTTTAAATACATCATGAAACTCCCTTGCACCCTGCCATGTTTCTGTTGAAAAATCAGCTGATAGGGGCACCTGGGTGGCTCAGTGGGTTAAGCCTCTGCCTTCGGCTTAGGTCATGATCTTGAGGTCTAGGGATCCAGCCCCACATAGGGCTCTCTGCCTGCTTCTCTGCCTACTTGTGATCTCTCGCGCTCTCTCTCTCTGTCAAATAAATATATAAAATCTTTAAAAAAAAAAAGAAAAAAGAAAAATCAGCTGATAGCTTTGTTGTGGTTTCCCTTGCATATAACTTTTCTTTCCTCTTGCTGCTTTTAAGATTCTCTTTTTGTCACCACTTTCTGCCCTTTTAATTACTACGTATCTTGGTGTGCACCTTTGATTCACCATCTTAGGGGCCCTCTGTGCCTCCTAGATCTGGATGTCTGTTGTTTTCCCCAGATTAGCCAAGTTTTCAGTTATTCCTTCAAATATGTTTTTGCCCCTTCTCTCTTCTTCTCCTGGGATTCCTGTAATGCAAATCTTTTAATGCTTCATGATGTTGCAGAGTTTCCTTAACGTGTTCTCATTTTTCATTCCCTTTTTCTTTTTGCTGTGAGCTTGGTGTTTTCCATTACCCTGTCTTCCAGGTTGCTGATACCTTCTTTTGCATCCTCTAATCTGCTGTTAGTTCCTTCCAGTGTATCTTTTCATTTCAGTTGTTGTATTCTTTAGCTCTGACTGGTTCTTTTTAGATCTTTTGTCTCTTGTTGAAGTTCTGAGTTTATCCATTCTCTCCAGCATATCTCAGCTTCACTTTTTTATTGTGATTCTGTCTTGTTCTTTCACTTAAGACCTATTCTTCTGTCTCATCCTCTCTAGTTCTCTGTGTGTGTGTTTCTATCTATTAGGTGGCCTTGTATAGAAGAGGTCCTATGATGCTCTATAGTGCATCAGCAGAACCAGGCCCTCCCATTGTGGCTGAACCGCATCTGCTCTGGACATGGTGGGGTGGAGCTGGCCTCAGCCCAGCCGGCTGCAGTAAGGCACTTCAGTTGCTATGGGCACTCCGGGCAGGGTTTGTTCCACCTGCTGTTGAGAAACCCAGCTATAGCCACTGTGAGCTTGCTGGTAGATTGGGGGCAGGGGGCAGCCCTCATCCTAACTGTCTGCAATTAGTCTCTGCCCTATCCTCCCTGTACCAAAGCGCAGGGCTTGCTTCTATGCATCCAGTTAAGACTCCTAGAAGCAGGCTTATCTCCTCCCTTTTTCAGAGCTGGAGTCCTTTGGATACTAGCAAAGTAGATACTAGCAAAGTATTAGAACTGGCTCCAGCAAGTGATGGCTGTCTAGGCTGGGGGAGGAGGAGAAAAATGGTACCCAGCAGTTTGTACCCAGAGAAATCTCCTAAAGATCCCTGCCCCTCCAGCACACATTCTAAGATTAGTCAATACATGTCCATTACACATACCCCAGGTGCTTTGCAAAGTCCTGTTTCTATGCCGTGTCTCAGGCCAATTTACTTGGCATGCTGTCTCTTTAACCGTGGGGACTTTCTTGCCTGTTGCCTTCTGGCTTTCCCAGAATTTAGGCCTGCTGATTTTTCAAAGCCAGACATTGTGGGAATGGCCATCTTAGTGCAAATCCTCAGGCCTAGGGTTAGCTAGTGTGGGGTCTGATCCCCTCACTCCTCTGTGCTGGTGATTTCTCTCCCACTTGTGGTTATCTGTTCTAGGGGTTCACTTCTCAACTGCATCTCTAACCTTTCTATTCTCCTCTGTGTGGTGTTTTCTCTGTGGAGTTGTAGAATATCTGGTCTTCCAATTTTCAAGTTATTTTCAGTTAGTTACGTAGATATGGTTATTGCCTGCGTATGGCTGTGGAACGAGGTGAGCTCAGGATCCTCTTCCTGTGCCATCTTCTCTCTCTGCCCTGTGGCTTTTTGATGGGCTTAACATATACAGAACATTCCACCTCAAGTTCAGTGTTACCGAAGGTGTAGGTTTCCTTGTTGATTTTCTGTCTGGATGGTCTGTTAATGTAAATGGGGTATTAAGGTTGCCCAGGTGTTATCCTGCTATTTCTCCCTTAGGTCTATTAATATTTGTTTTATACATTTAGGTGCTTCTATGTTGGTGCATAAATATTTACGAATGTTCTATCTTGCTGGATTGACCCCTTTGCGTAATGCCCTACTTTATCTCTTATTACAGTCTTTTAGAGCCTCTTTTGTTCAAGTGAGCTCTCCCAGCTTTCTTTTGGTTTCCATTTGCATGCAATATCTGCAGTTAGTTTGTAGGCACTGTAGAGATGGGTCTTGTTTTGATGGTGGTGGTGGTGTTTAGTCCAGCCACTCTATGTCTTTTTTTTTATTTATTTAAGATTTTATTTATTTATTTGACAGAGATCACAAGTAGGCAGAGAGGCAGGCAGAGAGAGAGGGGGAAGCAGGCTCCCCGCCAAGCAGAGAGCCTGATGCGGGGCTTGATCCCAGGACCCTGGGATCATGACCTGAACCGAAGGCAGAGGCTTTAACCCACTGAGCCACCCAGGCGCCCCTGTGGTATTCTTAGGGGGCATCTTCACCTTATCTCATTGTTTTTTGTTTTTTTTACAGTGAAAAATACATTAAGTGTTCTTAATTTTTAAAGTTCACGTCAAGAAAGTTTATTGACATTGAACTAGCAAATGACAGCAGAAGCTCCTAAAATGGCAATGGATAGAAAAATGTAGGGACTCTGAGAATAAAATGGGCAATGCCCAGCAGCAGGTTTCCTGCAAATCAGTGCCTCTCACACACACACAGATTCTGTCTGAGATATCTTACCTGATAAATCTTACCAGAGCAGCTACAGTCTATAGTGTTAAAAACAGAAAATCCATCCTTCAAACTTGTAGCTAGAGAACAAAAATGACTTAAAATTGTGTTTTAAAGTATTTCTTTACCTCCCACTTGGAAGTTTTAGGTTGCTCAATTCTTTACTATTTCTCCATAACCCAAAACCACGATTCAGAAAGGGGAGGAAGGTGCAAACAGAAGCACTGCCTGCAAACACCCATCTCCGAAGGGACTCCGAAGGTAAGGTGGGTTGGAGCCCTCAGCTGTGCAGGGCAGCACACAAGCCAGAGCCACTCATATCCAGGTCCAGCTTCAGTAGGAGATATTGTCCTCCAACCCCACACCTCCCAAAAAATATTTTTGTGGTTTACTGGCTGGCAACTTTGGTATATATACTAGTAAGGACTTGACAGAATGGAGCCAGAATTTAGGTTCAAATCCCAGCTCCTCTGTTTCCCAGGAGTGTGACCTTGGGGAAGTTCCTAAATCTCTCTTGCCCTTCATGCTCCCCATCTGTGAAATGGGGATCTCTCTTGTAGGGTTGAACCAGTACACAGCAGTCCACTGTAGACTGCATGGCCTACAGGTAAGCACACAAATAAAGTTAGCTATTATTGGACTTGAATAAGTTTCCAGCTTAAAGAACTTGAGTATTCAAGATAACCTCCTCTGAGGACTGTGCTGTCAGTTGGACAGGTCTTAAAAGCTCTTTCACATAACTACACAGTATGTTACTAAATGGAGGTGGTGTGACGCTACATAGGCAGATGGCCATATATTCTGAGGGCAAAGTTGTTTCCTGGAATAAGGCTCTCCTGGGTACATTGTCAACATTGGGCCATGCCCTCCCTAAAATCTAGGGAACCTTGAAACCTCAGAAAAACCAAGGCCCCTTCAGTAGAGATCTTATTCTCATGGGGGTTAGTTCTTTGGAGAATTTTAGGATTTGATGATAGCCATAGGTGATACAGTATCATTCTCCATGGCATGAGATAGCTACAGCAATTTTAAAAAGTAAATAATAATTTCTGTATCATTTTTAAAAGCGAACTTTGATTTAATAGCTCTTTGTTCCAAACAGCTAGTGGAGATATCCGCAATTTGTCAAAAGTAATGGAGCTATATGGGGAAGAAGTCCTCTTCCTTATAGGTAGTGGTGGGGGAGGGGTGGGTGCTCAAGGAAACAACTCAAACTACCTTCCTCACCCCTCCAGGTGCGTGGGCTGTGGGAGGAGGAAGGATGAGCTCTCCTTTGGGCACCAGCATTAACCCAAGTCCTTGGGTTTGTGTTGCAGGCGTCATGTACCGGAAGTCGTGTGCGTCTTCAGCGGCCTGCCTCATCGCCTCCGCTGGGTACCAGTCCTTCTGCTCCCCTGGGAAACTGAACTCAGTGTGCATCAGCTGCTGCAACACCCCTCTTTGCAACGGGCCCCGACCCAAGAAACGGAGCAGTTCTGCCTTGGCCCTCCGGCCCGGGCTCCCCCCCACCGTCCTGCTCCTCCACTTGGCCCTCCTCTTGGCTCACTGCTGAAGCTGAAGGAGATGCTCGCCCCTCCTGCTTTGTTCTTCGGGCCCTCCACTCCCTCTGCTCCCCAAGCTTCTCCTGGGTGTCCCGTTATTCCGGGTGGGAAGGGGAGTGTGTTCTCTTTCGTTCAGTTCCTTCGTCACTGAAAGAGCTCAGTGTAAAACATTTTTTGTAAGCTCTGAATAAATTCAGTCTGAATTTTCAGTGTGTATTTAAAGGAAGGGAAGGCGTAAGCAAAAGTCTGCCCCGTCTCTCCCGAGGCAAGGTCCAGCTGGCAGAATCCGCCCTTAGAAGGCACTTAGGTGGGCATCCATTTTCCCCCAAGGCCCCTAGCTCCCACTGCTGTCCCTCCTAAGGGCACAGTTCGTCACCGCTGTGTCAGGATAATGTTGCTTTCGTTGGGGGAGTTAGAAGGCCGGTTAGCCTTCAAGGCTTCCATACCTGACATTCACACTTCATGCTCCTGCAAACCATTCCCCGTGGCAGGAGTGGGTGGTTTCATTGCCGAGTTGGGCTCTAGGGACTCGAGACTCAAATGCTGGGGCTCAGACTGGGGCTTGGCCTCGCTCTGGAAAGTGCTCAAGAAAACCTTGTTCGTTCTTGCAGAGGAGTTGGAACGCGAAGCCCTGAAGATCAGGGGGCGGCGCGCTGAGCGGGTGCTGGCGGCGGCGGAGGCGCCGTGGGTGCGCAGGTGCTTGCTGTGGTTGGCGTGGGGCAGCGTCAGGTGGCAGCGCAGCACCTGGCCGAACACCCTGCGGAACTGCTGCGAGGACACGTTGTACAGGAGCGGGTTGATGACAGAGCTCAGGTAGAAGAAGGTGTCGGAGAAGGGGAGGAGGATCATGTACGCCCGGAAGTAGGTCTTGGTCCAGTCGTGCTTGGGTTTGGCCGCTGCCATAATCCTCCGCACCTGGTTAGGCATCCAGCAGACCGCCAAGGTCACGACAATCAGCCCTGAGCAGGCGAGAGGCAAGACAGAAACAGCATGAGAACAATAATGCAAGAAACAAAATACTGAGCTCCCCAGATCTGCGCTTACTGGTCAGAAAATGGTACCGATTTTTCAGTGTTGTGCTTGACAGCTTCTCTTGGGGCTAGCAAAAAGGAATTTCACAGTATTTCAAGCCCCAGGGCGTGGACTGTGTTACACCGTTAAATGCTTTAGACAATTGTCTGTACCTGTTGATAGCTCTTAATTTAAAAAAAAAAAAAAAAAAAAAGTTTTCATCCAGAAAGCATATTATGTAGTCTAGCAATCCAGTTCTTTTTCAGGAAACAGATGTATACACTCTGCAAAATCAGGTGAAACAATATTTGTACTTTGAAGAATGTCCACATAAAGACCCAGTGATATTTTCAAGACAAATGGAAATGTGTCCCTTGTCACAAAGAAGCATGTTTAGTCACACTGATTGTGCATTCAATTTCAAGGGACACAAAATTGGGAAGAGCCTGTCACCGAGAATGTTTCCTGGACATGTATCTACTAGGGGTGTACACCTGTAATTCTAATGCTCGTTCCTGCAACAGCACTTCTGTTCCTTTTCATATATATTTCGTTGTATCATCTCTTCCATCCTCATGGGGGAAAAAGACAATTATTCTCAAGTAATGGAAAATATAAAACATCTTTCAAGTTTAGCCAATAGCATGCTCATGGCCTTTGTGGCTCTGAGCTACATCAGCCTCCAAAAGGATCAGGCCCTCAGGAGACACCGCTCTGACCCGTAAGCAGATCACAGGATGACTGTAGGGATATATTTGCATGCCCCTTTATTTATATCTCAACTTAACACACACATCTCTGTTTCTATGACCTCTGACAGAGAAAAGGAACATTTATCTACAGTGACCAAACAAAAACAAAAACAACAACAACCAAAAAACACATCCCAAAAAAGGAAGACCAGTAATCTATATAGCATTTGCTCTCTTCACTCCGGAGCCCAGACACCAGAATGTAAGTTCCTGTGTGGAGAGCTGGTATCTTAAAGCTGTGTACAGAATTTTTAGAAATGCTCCCTCCCTCTCTTAAATCTGCTTATCATAGTAAGGAAGATCCATTCACATTTTGAACTTTTGTATTTTCTAGGAAACCACAGGGAAACGATGGTTGGCAATAATCTCTAACTGCCTCTGATCCATGGTAAACATTTTGTTCACAAATGCTCCCAGAAAACCAGCTCTGTTCATGCCTCCAGGGTTGGCCCTCTCACACGCACTCCCCTTGGCATGCCTTCCTTACCTGGTGGCTGGAGTGGCCCTTGGTATGTTCTCTACCCCGGTAATAACCCAGTTCCCTCAACAAATCCTCCACAAAACCCAGCTGTCCACAAAGAAGGCCCAGGAAGCTCCACTCTCCCTGATAATTTCCAAGGGTTTCTCTTGTCAAACCTCAGCCCAAGCTTAAAACACAAACCAGTTTGCTTATTTCTTTGAGTTTGCTTCCCTGAGAACACTCAGTGAATCGAAAAGACCAAAAAAAAAAAAAAAAAAAAAAAAAAATCACCTAAGGAGTATCATCTGAATCACCTAGTTAAAGCTGGTGGACGGGAAGAATCATTTCTCTGTGTTTAAACAATAACAACAAAAATACTTGCATAGACAATTGGGAGCCTTTTTCCCACTGCTTCAAAAAGCACGGACATGGACGCATTCCAGCCGCGTGTGCTGTTCCAAGTGGGTCTGTAAGTGATTTCTCCTTGTTTATACTGGAAGCAGTTCTGACTAAAAGGTTCATCTCATTAACTGAAAGAACTAGGAAGCTTCTCATACCTAGGGAAGCTACATGTCTTCATCGAGGCTTAAGTTCTTTTCTATTCTCTGCCACTGCAGACAAGTACAACCAGCTTCATCTGAAGACTTAGTTCCCAGAACATGGACATCGAGCACAGGGTTTCGGATGTGTGTTCTGCAACACTGCGGGAGGCGTCACTTCAGGCAGCAAGAATCTAGAAGGCGACGAGAACCCACTTGTCCTTACTTGAACACAGCACGGCTTTCCAAGCCCCTCGAAGGAAAACAGAAAAAGGGCCAGGTTTGAGGGCAAGTTACAAAGTTGTTCTGGCCTTGGCCTGGTTCTCCCGAGCAACCTTTCTTGTTACCTTCACCCTCTTTGGTGGCATCAGTTGGTCTCGACTGACCTTCTCGTCAAAAGACGCAGTGCCATCAAAGGCAAGACCAGGTATCTTGGGGATGAGGCAAGGAACACGAGCAGTCGAAGTGCTGTGTCCTGACTGGCGGTTTCAGCCAGGAGACAACTTTTGCTCTGAAATCCAAGTGCGCTAAAGTCAGTAAGTGGGAGGTGCCTTATTTTGAACAAGTTGCCAAAAATTGGGAACCAGACCCAAGCTTCTGCAGTGATAAGGCGAAACCTTGGCTGTCTGATATACAACAGAAGGCAGGATGGCAAACAGGAACTTGGAGAACAGGAGAGACAAGGAGCGGAGTTAGAAATCCCCAGGGATTAAGTAAAGATGAGCCATCAGAGGGGCGCCTGGGTGGCTCCACTGGTTAAGCGTCTGCCTGCAGCTCAGGTCATGATGTCAGGGTCCTGGGATCGAGCCCCATATTGGGCTCCCTGTTCAGAGAGGAGTGTTCTCCCTCTCGCTCTGCTCCTACCCCTGCTCATGCCACTCGCTCTCTCTCTGAATCTTCAACAAAAATGATAAGGCATCAGAAAAATCTTGACATATAACCAAGAATAACGAAGTATTGATTCTTCACTATGTCAGGTTCTGAGCTGAGCACTCTGTGCTGCTTTCCTCTGCGTTTGTCACTTCTGACAAAAACCTGGTGAGATCAAAGCTGTCACTATGTACATTTTACAGAAGAGGAAGGTGAGTCTCAGGTTAGTTGCCCCCATCCTACAACTAGGACATGTGTGTGCCAGACTCTCAGACTCTCCCTTATACATTTACTTTTTCTGAAAGGCTCCGGATTATGATTGTTTCTCATTTTCTTCTGTTTAAAAAATACAGGAAACACGTGTGAACATGAGCCATAATTCCACCCTGTGAAATGGATATAAAGTAGCACTGATCACTAGAAATATAAGCCACGTAGGTGGCTTTAAAGTTAAAATTTTGAATAATCACATCCAAAAAGTAGAAAAAGGGGGTGTCAATTTTAACATTTCCTAACTGAATCTATGGTAAATATTATTTCACACACAATGTCAATATGCAATCAACCTAAAATTGAGAGTTTTAACATTATTTTTTTTTATACTTTGAGACCCAATGTGGCTTTTGTTCTTACACCATTCTGTTGGTTACTAGCCGTACCTGGCTAGTGTCTGTGGCACAGGGTCAAGTACCCATCCCCACAGAAGGACTCCTTAGTGTCTCCTCCCATTTTCCCACCTGCCCCTTCCCAGCCACATACCCAGGGAGTCCTGTCCAACCAAGGAATCCCAAGATTCCTAATATTCTTCCTAAGATTCGGATGTGATTATCATATGGTTTCACTCATATGTGGAATATAAGGAATAGTGCGGAAGACCACAGGGGAAGGGAGGGAAAACTGAGCAGAAAGAAATCAGAGAGGGAGACAAACCATGAGAGACTCAGGACTCCAGGAAACAAACAGAGGGTTACGGAGGGGAGGGAGTGGGGGGTCTGAGGTAGTAGGGTGATGGGCATTAAGGAGAGCATGTGACGTGATGAGCACTGGGTGTTAGGCACAACAAATGAATCATCGAACATCAAAAACTGATGATGTACTCTATGTTGGCTAACTGAACATAATGAAAAAAATAAAATTAATTAAAAAAAAAAAAAAAGATTCTGAGGCAGCCGAGTGGACCCAGATCCCATATCAGAGTATGCTTTGTCAGCCTTGGGTAGAGCAGGTCCAGCCAGTCTTTACATATGAAAAGCCTTCCATAGGAGGCGACTGCCAGTTAGTGACGGCCTAAATAATTCTCAAAGCACAAAATGGTATTTTGTATTTCTCATTCGAAACCCCGCCTCGGCATTGTGGAATAGCAGACTGTGCCAGACACTTGGTTGGGCTGTTGGAATATTCTTCTCCCACTGCAAGCGGCGGTGGGCAGAAGTGGTGGTGTCTTTGCTCCTATGCTTTGGAAGATAATTTTGTTCTAGGAAAATGGAGCATTAGGCATATAAGGACTCACCACTGTCGGATCTGAAGTGTGCCTCCGTGGGCCATGGAATAGAGGTCAGCCTCTGGGGACAAGTTGGGGGGAACCAAACCAGCCCCCTTGTAAAATTTGTCATTTCACAATGACAAGTAATTGCTCACTTTTACATTTGAAAAAAGAAAAATGGTACATTATTTTACATGGCAGTGAGAATAAATATCATGTCCAAAGGTAACTTTTTATTGGACTATTTGCGACTGGTCCAGCTCTCGTCCTAGCTACTCTGAGACAAAGCTTGAAAATCTTATTCAGCCCTTAACAGAGTATATTAAAGATTTGACTAAATTTATGTTTAGCTGCCATCAGTTTGGACTCACATTTGGAAAAATCTATAATGCTTTGGTCTGTATGGTGTAATGTGTAGCTTGCAGATAAGTAACTTTACTATGAACTTGAACGAAGATCAGTGAACTGAACCTAGTCATGTTAAGAAAGTAAACTGTTTTAACTGCATTATTGATAGATTTGTATTACATTCCAGACCAGCCTGTGCTCTGGGTTAAGAAATACCTTCATAGCTTAGCTGTTTTTCCACATAAAGTACTTCCATTTTTCCTCCGTGATCACTACAACTAAAATGACAGGCGCCATTAGACAATGACACAGATTTATTCTCAGTGGAGTAATGTTGTTTAAAAACAGAAGTAATACCGATGTCCAACAGCATCTCACACGAAAGCCTAACATTTCAACAGCATCTGAGTCAGCCTGCCTAGTTTTATCTGTGGAAGACGTGAAACTATGCCACCTGGGACATGGTGACGTTCGTGCTGCTGACTCTGGGCTCTCT